TGGGCGACCATGGTGATGGGACGGAGGAGACATGATGAGGGAGGACCATAGGCTGCTTAGTCACTCTTGCTTAGCTTAAGTGATTAGTTAAGACCTTATGTTATGGTCAATAAACTATTTGTTCGTATTTGATAATTGGGAGATTTCCCCCTTGTTGTTAGTTTCATTTCTGGATAGGTACCTATTTTAGTTTGATTCCATTCATTGAGTTTTGCCTAGTTTAAATAATAAACTTGCATCGTGAGGTGGTCCACGAATGTTGTTGAATGATAATCTATGAGATTGATTTATCATTAAATTGATGAGAATTGGAACTTGATTTCATATAATTGTTTGTATAGAGAGTTGACATGACCTATTTGGGGGTTAAGTTTCATTAGTTGGGTAGTTAACGTGACCTAGAATTGTGATGGAAATTCTGGGTCTTTAATTAGTTGGAGAAGAAGAAGGGTGACGTGGGGTAACTCCCCACGTCACAACACCTCCTATTCCCCTGCAATTTTGCAGGGGAGTTAATATTAATAATAATAATAATAATAATATAAATATATATATATATATAAATATATAATAATAATTAAAATATATATACTAATATATATATAATAATTAATATATATATATAATTAATTAATCAAATTAATTAATATAATTAATTATTAATCCAATTAATAATTAATAAATATATATATACATAAATAATTAACACTTAATTATTTATTATAAAATTAGAATCATATTCTAAAACATTTCTCTCGTATAACCTATAGTTTTAATGTACATCTTATGCACATTATTTTTAACCGATAGTTTTAATATGAATCTCATTCATATTAATTTTATTTGAATCTCATTCAAATAATATATCTCATAATATATAGTTTTATATATTATAATGTATCAATATACATATAATCCTTTAAGTAATTTGAACAATTCAAATTCTTCCAAAAAATTTGATCCTCGTTTTACCCGTTATGAGCTAGCAAGGGGACCTAATGGACCTACAGATCAGAAGCTCCAACGATGCAAGATTAATCGGTCAAACTCATTGACCGAGTTAATCTAGATTCGTTAACTACGGGTCATTCCACTAAAGACCCGCAGTTACACTCTTCTCACTGCATAATGTTTTCGTGTCCATGGATATTTGACCATTAATGACGAGTCAATCCTTCACGAGTGTTCGTAACTCAAGTTGGGTCAAATTACCGTTTTACCCATGAGTTACATCTTACTCCTTAAACACCACTGCTTCTCTAATGAACAACCCGGTTATGGTCCAACCAATAACCGGAAGTCCATCTCGGCCAATGAGAGGGTGGGGCCCCTTGTTCAAGTCCCGGAGTCAGCATTTAAGGGAACACTCATCTACTCCCCTAAAGTTGGGGAGGAGTGAATTCCATCTTGTGAAGTTAGGTTCCCAGCTCCCCACTCGGTCTCGTCCCCAAAATGGTAGGAATGTTGAGTCGGCCACTCGGGTCACTCTCACCCATACAGATCAAAAGACGAGCCCTCACGGGCAGGAGTCCATAACTCACTCAGGATTGAGAAAGAGTTGCTTGGTCATCTTAAGAAATAGCAATCTATTAGTTAACGGTGTTACACCTAAAGATTGCCTATTTCGCGGTCCGATCTTATACAAACTCATTGTATAGGATACCCTCACTCGCATGTCTTCACACGAACGACCTGGATCGAGTCGTCTGTAACCTTTACAGAGTGGGCCGTATCCATAGTGTTGCCAGGATAAGGTACCCAGCCTTATCCATATACTATAGACCCTTTAGGTTATTCACGGGACATTATCCATTCATATATCAGGGGTATATCAAATATATACCCCGTATATCAACTATATACCCAGTATATATAAAGTCCCGATTACATAAAAAATAACCTTGGATGTTTAGTTTATTGGATTTTGGACAATGCAAAGCTATGATTCAACAACAAATTTATTGAATAAAACTTTATGAAATAGACATTTGTTTCTACAAAATACAATCTACGAGTTTAGGGCAACACACCCAACAAACATGCTTCTATATTTTGCGGAGGACTAGATGTTCGACCTGGAAGCTCCGAGGTCGGACTCTGATGTTGTAGTGCCTAGTCATTCGATTCTGGTACTCCGCCAGATGCAGTTGGGTTGCTTCCCTCTTTCCGTCAAGGAGGTCGAGGCTAAGGAGTAGTTCTTCCTCGTTCCTAACATGCTCGTAGTAGTCTATCCTCTCAGTTGGCATCCCAATTTCTACAGGTACTACGACCTCGGAACCAAAGGCCATGGCGAAGGGAGTTTCGCCAGTGGATTCCCGAGGCGTAGTTAGGTAGAACCAAAGCACTTCAGGTAGCTCCTCGGCCCACCGTCCTTTCCTGGCATCAAGCCGTAGCTTAAGGCCTCGCTTAATGATTTTGTTGACTGCCTCTACTTGTTCGTTCGCCTTAGAGTGAGCTAAAGACGAGTAGAAGTGGCTAATTTCGAGCTTGCGGTAAAAGTCTTTAAACTTGGCGTTGTCAAACTGCTTGCCATTGTCCGTCACAATAGTGTTGGGTATGCCGAAGCGGCAGATCATGTTTGTCCAAATAAAGGTCGTGACTCTAGCGTCGTGATAGTTGAGTGTGCCTCGGCCTCTACCCACTTGGTAAAGTAATTCACGGCTACAACAGCATACTTGGTCTGCCCCTTGCACAATGGGAAGGGTCTAATTAGGCCAACTTCCCATTCTGTGAAGGGCTAGGAGCTGAGATCGGCGTCAGTAACTAGGAAGGTTGGTGGATGAAGTTCGTAAAGCGCTGGCAATTGTCACACGCTTTCACGAACTCTTTCGCGTATTGGTCAATCCCAGGCCAATAGTAATCCTGACAAACGACCGTGGCCCATAAGGACCTGACCCTTGAGTGATTGCCATAGACCGCTTCGTGAACTTCCCTAAGAACATAATTTCCATCCTCTTTGGAAATACACTTAAGGAGAGGTAATGAGAAGCCGCGCCGGTACAATGTTCCATCTCGGAGTATGTATCGAACTGCTCTCCTCGCCATCTTTTTT